TCTTCAAAAACTAAAACCCAAAAGCCATTAACTTCTAAGATGCAGAAACAAATTGAAACTTTTCCAGCTGTAAAAAGTTCTAAAAAGAAACCGCTCGTTCCTTCTCTTCAAGATGCTAATAAACCGCTATTGAAAAATTTAACACATAAAGATTTTAAAAAATTTACCGAACCTCAATGGAATAAATTTATAAACGAGATAACTGAAGACAATTGCCCAGAACTGTATAAGTTTCTTTATGGTATTGATAATGATATATTTAGTATAGAACAAAAAACAAATCTAATGAAGATGATGCTTCAAATACCTGATGACGATCCAGAGTCACCAAACGAAAATGTAAACATTTTACAGGATAAATGTAAAATGCATGTCATTTGTGCAAAGTATTCGAGTTGTAAATTTAAAACAATTTTACAACGTTCATATACGAATATGATCCAATACGAACAAACACAAATGGTTGAAAACGATGATAATATTCCAAGTACATCGGGTGTTAATACAGGTTCTTCTAAGAATAACGTAAAAAAAGTCGCAAGACGTAAAATCGATCATGAAACAACTAACTTAGAAAATAACAAAAAACCTAAGGTAAACCATTAAAAACACTGATTCATATAAAAATCTTAAAATAATAATTTATAGGGCAAACAAAGTAATATGAAAAATGATAGGGATAAACTTTGCTCTCAAACAAATAATAATAACAAAAATATAGATTATAAATCACAAAACACTGATCCTAGTGAAAAAATAAATAATAAAACTAAACCAAAACGACGACGTTATGAACCCAAGAAAAAAACAAACAAAGAAACTTTAAATAGAGATAAATTTTTTAATAAGTTTTTTAAAACAAAAGTAACAAACATTTCAGATGAAATTGATCCCGACATTGAAAATAGTATAGATTACTTTATTCATTCGAACTCATTTTCTGCCAATGAAGCAGAAAATGCTTTGCAAGAACAACAATTTGCAATGTTCACAAATTTAAATAGTTTAAAGAAAATCCGCACTCCAGATGATCTCAGAAATAATTCAAAAATATTCAATGATAATCTTCGCAATCGAAATATATTTGATTATTCCGAAACATATAGTAAGAACGCAGATTCACCACCAAATAAAATTTCTGTAGCTCCGTATAATCAAGTTACTACCCACATACCAGATCCAATATGTAAAGATGTTACATATAATAATGAAAATTTAGAAAATGTTGGAAGTCCCTTAACCTTATATGAACCGTTGTATATTGAGACTAATTTTAACGAAAACATTCAGCTTCGAAGACCACATAATGTAAATAAACATAAAATAAAGGAGTTATCTGTTACAAACAACGATAAAGAAATATCGTCACACCCACTTTATAATGAATGTGAAATTGATCAAAATATATACAACATACTATTGCAAGAGAACTCAGTTCTACAAATTTCATCGCCATCAAGTATTAAAAAGAATACACATCACGTAGACCAAAATATGTTTATTTCCCCAAAACCAACAACTCATAATGAAATCATGGAAAAACCAAAATTGATTTCAGATCCTGAAAATATTGGCTTACTAATGTGTTCTATCACATCGTTCAATAACTCAACAAACTATCAAAGTGTAGAATTGCTAAGAGAAAACACTCGTCAAGGTATTTGACAATATTATTATTATTAATATATTATATATAAAATAACATTTTTAATTTTTTATTATTTCATTAATATAATTACTATTTGTAATTAAATATTATTATTATTATTTCCATACTCCATTAGGAGTTTAAGGAGTCTATAAAAGTTTTTCACTGGTTTCTATTTTGTGCTATTGCTTTCAACTCGTTAAACGATTTGCATGTCTCTTGCTGAACTGTTCTTCTCCATGTCATTGCTATTCTGCCTCTGCGCCTAGTCCCCAGAGGGTTCCAACTAAGTGCAGCATGCGCGATATTTTCATAAGGCTAACGCAGTGTCCAATCCAGCCATACTTCTTTCTTCTTATTTTGTTGTTTACGTTTGTTTGGTGCGTTATACTCCATAACTCTTCATTTGAAATCGTTTTAAGACACCATAAGCCTAATATGTTGCGCAGGCATTGATTGATAAATGATTGCAACCTTCTTTCGATTTCGGAATTAGCAAGCCAGGTTTCCGATCCATATAAGCATACCGATTTGGCACATGCGTTAAAAATTTTTGCCTTGGTGTTGGTATGATTGATTACTTACTGAAATGATTACTTATTTACTTACTGCAGTCTTCATTTCGCAGTCGCGCATAGAGCCTCAACAAACCCTCTAAATCTCACTCTATTGCTTCTTTGCCTTCAACAGTTCTTCGCCAAGTTTTGGCGAGGGCACCAGGACGGCGGGAACCTTGAGGATTCCACCTCAGCGCTTGTTAAATAATATAGATGTTATTTTTGCGGAAAGTATGCCGTATCCAATTCCGTTTACGTTTTTTAACTTCAGTACTCGCACATACGTGATCTGTACGCTCCCAAAGTTCTTCCTTTGATACGTTTGATATTTTAAAAATCTGTAGCAAACACTTGTTTATAAACACTTGCATCTTCTGATCAATGGACTTTAAACATTTCCAGGTTTCAGAGCCATAATACAATACTTTACTTTACGTATTGTATTATCCTTAACTTTATTTTTTGTGTGAACTGATGGCCATACCTGCATGAACTGATTGTAATTATTAAAATATTTCTTTTTCTTTTAATTTTTAGAATCCACAAATTTAATGAAAACTTATAAAGCGGATATTAACTTGGAAGCAAAAGAATTAAACGATCAATTAACTGCAAATTTCTTTGATGAAACTAAAAAAGAAATTTGTGCAGTTATTAGAGAAGTTCTAGAGAAAACCAAACAAAAAGACAAGATAGAAAATGAACTTTTGGAGGCTATATACAATGTACATAGACTATATGAAAAGTATCAAGATGTATCAGATGATGTTAAACGGTATACTGAAAATGTAGAAATTTTAATATTAAATTATTAGTATGTATAATTATTTAATATATATGTTTTACATTTGAAGATCTGAAGAAAAAGCAAACAATATATTACAAAATATTCATTTTACTAATAACAAGATTACGACAAACAAGTACTTTGAGAGGTTGTTGAACGAATTTGATGTTAAATCGATAGAATTAAGAAAAAGTAAATGGAAATCATATGTTAAACATAATGTTATAACATTAATCGATGGAATGGATTATATATCGGCTTTAAATATATAATAAAATAATCCTATTAATTCTCATTATATAATTCTTAAACATATTGTATCTTTTTATAAAATTATTATTTTGTTTTTATTACATTATTCTTAAACATCTTAACTCCTAATATTGTATAAATTAATACCTTATTATTGTTCATAAACATTATATATCTATTATCATATATACCTATTCTATTATTCTTAAATGTAACAAATAATTTGAGATTAATTAATAAATAAATTATAATATAATTTAACTCTTTAATTTTAACATCAAAAATAATTATAGCTTGGTTTAGAAATACGATTGCTCAACAGTTTTTAATATTTCTTCAGCTTTTCCGGCTCTTAAACTATATTTTTTTATTGCAAAATTCAATGCTAAGAAGAAAACAAATTTGCAAAAACAATGATGCCATCGTGTGCACTGTTGGAGTTTAATTGTATGTCATGTTTCTACTGCAGCTACAACTACTTATGATTAAGTAGTTTGGTCGTGTCCGTAATTAATATTTGGTCGTTTCCATTGGCATGAGCTAATTTATATATATGAAATAACTTTTATGTGTCAGAAAATACTGTAAAAGTTGTAGAAGAGTTTTGTTAAAATTTCAATTGTAAGCAGATGATATTTAGTTTTGTGTTGTTAGCAGAAATTAATTAGTTTCGCATGGAAACAGCAGAAAATGCAAATAATTTAATATATAATGTTTGTGAAATTATTCACAACATGAATAAAACAATAGGTGCATACAGAAAACAACGTGCAATGCTTTGGAAAAAATTAATAACTATTAAAAAGCAACAAATAGCATTACTTTCCTCTAAATGTAATTAAACTATAAATCTAAATACTATTACATACTCCATTTTCCCATTGATAAGAAGTCAACTCTCGTCGCCGTTCATTTGAAATAAACCAACTTCACATAATAATATATAACACAAAAAAAATTAATTTATATTTGATATATTAAATCATTTATGTAGATTTATCCTCCTATACTGTGAACTTGATGAATTAAAGGTCTTACTTATTTCTTAAGGTTGACTAATTATTCCGTGCTAAGGTTTTGATATTCCGTGCTATAAGTAAAAAGCTATTTTCTTGATATTTTGGCAAGTTGACAAATGCTATTGACAAGCTTTTTATACTGTTTGTATTTAAAACATACATATGTCAAATATTTTTGTCATTTTCCTTGTGGGAAATTTATTTTAGAGGGTAGTTTTCGAGATTTTTAGCCTTAAATTTATTAATTTATTTTTAATGAACTCATTTATATGAAAGCTCTTTGTATGGAATATGAGATCAGTGGAAATGTGATATTAAACCCTAGTCACATCGCCGCAGATAATTGGTTGTGCCAGTGTTTCTTCCACATTCTCATCTCTATGAGTTTTTCAACATATTAATAAGAGGGAATTCGAAGCCTTATAGTGTGTCTACCAAATAACCAGTGACCGATAATGGTCCAATCGTTGCAGCTAACAAATTTTTTAAAAGTAAACTATTTACCGAACGGGGTGTGGGAATCAAGATGATATTTGTGCAATTTCTGAAAGTGTGTTTTATATTTCATGTCAGTGACAATTAAGTTTCCATTATTTATAAGATTTTATTAGAACTAGTTAAAATACAATATGAATGCAAAAGTTCACAGAAATTTCAAAATAAATATAAAACGAGTATTTGCGCATTTCACATCACTAATCAGCTGTGTTTATTCTGTATCATGTGTGTAACTACCACAATGTTTTGGTTAAAACTACGAAAGCATGTTGTTTTAGGATTGTAATTATATTTAAGAATTTCGAAAATGATTGGACGTTTGCTTCACTCAACGTTTACAACTGCAATCAAATATTCAAATAAACGATTTTTATTAACAAACTTAAATTTCTCAAGTATTGTACAGCAAAACTACGCCGGCTTTCAATTCCTTCAACTGCAACAACTTCATGTTAAGGTATTTGACAAAGAAGTTGGTTTCGATAATCAACGGGAATCTAATAGATACGATGAAAACGAATCAATTTCTATAAATCACACACAAAAAGTCGAAGATGTACAAAAATTATCTAAACGAGTACCACGGGTAAGAAGGATAGTACGCACTGAGACAGAAGTGGATGATAATGTAAAAATAAGTGATGCCGATGTTTTTGGTGGCGCTAGAATAGAGGAAGAAGAGCTCGATGCAGGTTAGTATTTTCATAACAAATATTATTTGCAATGTATAGTTTTGTTACTTTTTTATTAGGTGACAAAGAAGAAGAGGAATTTTTGAATCGTTCAACACGACGAACTAAAAAGTTACAAACACATCAATATGCCAGATTAATCAAGGAGCACATGAACATGCATAGGCTAAATGATGCTATTGCTGTGCTAGAAAAACGTATGCTCAAAGAGGATAGAGTGAAACCAGAAAATTATATATACAATTTACTTATAAGTGGCTGCGCTAAGGCTGGCTATACGCGTAAAGCGTTCAGCTTGTTTACTAAAATGAGACAACGTGGACTGAAAGTCACTGGAGGCACTTATACGTCACTTTTCAATGCCTGCGCTAACGCGCCATCGATTGAGGACGGTTTAGGTCGTGCTAATCATTTACGAGAAATTATGCTAGAAAAGGGATTTGAACCAAATCTTAAAACATATAATGTTATGATCAAAGCATTTGGACGTTGCAAGGATGTCAAAACAGCATTTTTAATTGCAGATGAAATGTTAGATAAAAAACTTGAAATTAACATTGATACCATTAATTTCTTGCTACAGGCTTGTGCTAGTGATATACAATATGGATTTAGGTGATTATCGTATATTTGTATTTATAAATAATATATATTTAAATATTTATATTTTCAGACATTGCTTACTGACATGGCATAAAATGTTACAAAATGGTTTAAAACCTGATTATTATACGTTTAATACAATGTTACGCTGCACACGTGATTGCGAATTTGGTGACATACGAAGTATGCAAAATGTACTCCAACAAATTTTAGAAGAAAATCAAGCAATCGCTATTAGTAACGATGTTCACAAAAATAAACAATTATTGATAGAAAGTAAAAGTTCAAATTTAGAATCTAATGACTTAAAACAAAGTACTGAACTGGAAGCAGTACCAGCAGATACAAATCCAAAAGAAGTCGTAGCAGTTACTAATGACAATCCCACTCAACTAGAATTGCCTAATTTATTAGCATTGAAACCTCACTTAGGCAGCTTGTTGACGTTATCAGAGGTAAACAAACCTCATGAAAGATTTGTTTTACTTGGTGGTCTCACAGGATATTTGGAGATAATGAAACAAAACAATGTAACACCTGATATAAAAACATTTACAACAATGTTGGAAATCATACCCCCAACAATTGCTGCTGAAAAACAAATACTGTCATTTATACGCAGAATTGGTTTAAAGGCTGATATTGACTTCTTTAATATATTAATTAAAAAACGTTCAATGCGTTTCGATTACGAAAGTGCAAAAGAAGTATTATCAATGTTGCATACAGTTAAACTACAACCAGACATTGTTACATATGGAGTATTAGCTTTAGGCTGCACGAACGAAGAGGCTGCGAGGGAATTAATACAACAAATGCATAACAACGGCATAAAGTATGTATATAAAATAATTTACATATATCAGGGCTGTGAACTGTATAAAAATATTCGTAATATATGTTTCATCTGCTTCATGGTTGTAAGCTATTCTGAACTGTTTTGTACGGCAATTAAATCAATGAGTTTTAATAGTAATAAAAAATGAACAGTTCCAAATCAACTCCAGTTTGGTTCAGAAATGATTCATAGCCCTGTCGCACATTTGTATATTAATTATAAAAAATAATCTAATATATTTTCTTTATTAAGGATGAATGTTGAAATTCTTGGTGCAATGTTACGTCAAGGTTGTGCAACGAAAAACTTTTCTTACGTGATGGATATTATGCAAATAAGTTTAGATGAAAATATAAAGCCAAATGAGATCTTCCTGAGACATTTGCATAATTTCTATAAACATTGTGCAAAATTAATAGATGCAAGAGTATGCATTAAAATTTTATTAGTAATAATTAAATTGTACTAAATTTTATCTTTTATAGCATCCCACCTCTAAAACCAAAACATTTAAAAAAATGCATTCTAAATTTTGCAACAAATTACATACTTATCACGAGGAATTAGGTATAGCTGGACTTAAACTTGAAGATGCTATTAAAAAAATAAAGCAGCGTCCTTATGATCAATATAAAGAAGACCCAGTGGATGGTATAGAACCCACTAAAAATGAAAAATTATTAAGAAAACAGAAAATAAGCAAATATATCAGAAAACTAAAATTAGAGAACCTGCAAAACGATGAGGATACAAAGTTAACACAAAGAACTAGAATAGAGTAAATTGTTAATTATAAGTTTATTAATATAATTACAGTTTTTTTTTAAGACAATAAAATTGTTAAACATCTTTCTTAACCAATCATAGTTCTTTTTCGTCCTCTAGCACGTACTTCTTCAAATTTGGAGAGCAAATTCTGTTCATCTTTACCACACTCTTTGCGATAGGCAGTTAAGATCACATCGAATAAATATGGTTGCTCACTATGTGTACTTAATAGGGCTCTTTCGAGTACATACAAATCTACTCCTTTATCTTCAAGGCTTTGATTATAATGACTCAAACCAAAATCGACAAAAATAATATCTTCATTTCCAATGCTCTGATCTTCTTGTTGATTTATCAATATGTTTGATGTTGTTAAATCGCCATGTATAACATTATTTGCGTGCATTTTACCAACAATACTACCAATACGTTCGCATAATGCGTCCAAAATTGGACGCGCAGATTCTCCATTGTGTTTTAATACTGTGTGTTTTATGTATTCTTTTGCAGTAATAGCTTTACTGAAATATTCCATATAAATTTTGCGTTCATTTACATCTGCATGAAAAATTTTAGGCGTCTTTATACCAACGCTTTCACATCTTCCAATGGCTTTTACTTCGGCTTTGATGCGGTGCTTTGATATTTGTGCATCTAATTCAGGATGGCGGTATTTTTTAACAAACCTTTCTTTGACTAAACACGCTTGTCCCCTATATTCACCAAGATATAGACGTCCTTCCGCACCCTGTTTCAAAATAGTTAATGACATTTTAAAACCTTATTGCAGGAATAGAATAAATCCCGAAATTACTGATATGCACTATAATAAACTTTATAAACATGAGAATATGGTCTACACTCCATGCAATGATGCAAGGTTGTATTTATTTGGTATTATTTAAATTTAAGCAAAATAATTAAACTTATTTATGATAATTAATTTTTGTATTTCTATTAAATCTTTCAAAAAATAGTTTAATTCTTTGAAATGTGAAATAAAACATTATATCTGTAATAAATATGCGTATATAGGGGAAATAATTTCTCTTTAGAAACCACAGATAATCGGTGATTGCAACCCACAACATGCACAGACATCAATCAGCTGTTTTTCATTTTTTTTATTATTTTCTTTTTTCCTTCGTTTGTTTTGGCGTTAAATTTGTGTTTGGATTTGTTTTTAATGTCGTCATTGTTATAGTTTGATAAAACTGAATCATCATTGCTTAATCTCAGAAGAAATTTTCACAGAAGCAACGCAGTTTTTATAATTTTTATTTTAATATAATAATTTCAAAAATAATGTTTAATAATTTTTTTGGTAAAAAACCAACTGTTAAGGAACAACAACGTGAAAATGATAAAAATTTACGCAAAGCAACTCGAGACATTGAACGTGAACGTCGTAAATTAGAGGAGGAAGAGAAGAAACTTGAACAAGAAATAAAAAAGAATGCGGCTTCAGGGAACAAAGATGTGTGTCGTATCCTAGCTAAACAATTAGTGGAAATACGTAAACAAAAGGCTCGAACATATGCAGCAAATAGCAAGATAACTTCAATAGGATATCAAAATAAGACCATTGGTACTAATATCGCACTAAGCAATGCCATGGGTACTACAGCAAAAACTATGGCTGATATGAACAAAATAATGCGACCCGAAGCTATATCAGCGAATGTACGTGAGTTCCAACAAGCTAATATGAAGATGGAAATGACAGATGAAATGATTAATGATACCCTGGATGATATGCTCACTGAATCTGGTGACGAAGAAGAAACAAATGATGTGGTTAACAAGGTGCTCGATGAGATTGGTATTGAAATTTCAGGTAAAATGGCAAACATTCCCTCAACTGGTACAGGAGATTTAGATCGCAGTGATGTGCGCACAGAAAAAGATATTGCAGCTCAATTAGCAAAATTGCGTTCATCCTAAAGTATTTATAAAATGCAAATATAAGAAGCTTTTATTGTATTTTTATTAAAGATAAAATCTTTAACAAATGAAATATATCAATTGTAAAAACAAATTTGTAAATTTAATAAACAATAATAACATGCTTTATACACAAATTTTTTTAGTTATATATTTAATATCACTTTAATAATTTTAGCAACAAAATTAAAGTCGTGCTGTCATACCTCCGGATGCTACAATAGATTCGCCTGTAATGTAACTAGCATCATCAGACACCAAAAAAGCAACAATTCCTGCCATTTCATCTGGCATACCCAAACGACGCATTGGTATTCTTGCAAGCGCTGCTTCATTTGCCGACTCCTCTTCATGCAGCTGCAAGATATTAATATTTAATTTAAGTAGTTTCATTATAATTTTACTTATTCTTACCGCCTGTGAAAACTTAGTTTTGATAATACCAGGTGCCAAACAATTTACTCGTATTCCTTCTGGAGCTAAATCCTTTGATGCTGCTTTTGTAAGACCAATTAGAGCAGTTTTACTCACAGAATATGCACCAAGAAGCTTAAAAGCAAATAAATGGTAAAATTCTTAATCTTGAAATAAAATTTGATTTATAACTTATATCAGAAATGACCTTAACTCGAACTAAATATAGTGCAACAGAGTTTAAAGAGCAAAATGCATACAATTACAAAAAAATTCTTTAACTCGAATTATGGCAGTTCAAGAGTATCTCTGAGATAATAATAATAATTAGATATATTAATATGTAGTTGAGCTAATTATATATATTTAATAATTTTGAAATCATAACTTTGAAACACAAAATAAAATTTACCTCGAAAGCATCATAGCCAGCTATGGATGAGACAAATACAATACTTGAACCCTTTTCCTTTCGCAAATATGGCAGCGCCTCTTTTGCCAGAAGATATGATGACTTAACGTTTATATCGAATATTTTATCCCAAACATTTTCTTCACAATCCAATACAGGACCTACAGCTGGATTTGCTGCTGCGTTCGATACCAAAATATTGAGTTTACCATATTTGCGCATAGTTTCTTCAAATAGTTGTTTACGATCACTTGCCTCAGCCACGTGACACTTCAATCCCATAACGTTTAGATTAAGTTTACGTAATTTTTCTACTGCGTTGGCTACATTTTTCTCCTTGCGGCTGCTGATAACTACATTAGCTCCATCTTCGGCCAATCGCTTTGCGATAGCAAATCCAATGCTATGAAGATAGAAACACAGTGTTAGTAAATGATAAAGAAGTACTAGGCCCGATTTACCCGTCCGTTGAAGCTGTAACAATAGCGACTTTCCCTTGAAAACGTTTCATATTTCCCGATGTTGAACTCTGACTGGACAAACGCTTAGCACAATTATTAATGCTGATACTACACGTTGCAGTGCTGTTGAATTGATTAGCCACTGGAACAGATGATGTTAGAACTTTGAACTTTCCACTAGCTATTCTCGTTGGCAGATTTTGAATTACTTGAAACATTTTATTTCACTAATCACAAATTCTGTGTGAAGTTCGTGTAATCGTCTTAAAATCTAATCAATTTGTGTTATTATTAAAGAGATATTCTTTCGTCCAATAAATAAAAAACATAAGCAGTATTTTCAAACAGTTGTAATAAAAAGTATAAATAAACTTCCAGCGCTTTTTAAGAGAGAATATATTAAAGAGAATATTACACACACACAGGGTTTCTATGAAATTTTATTTAAAACATAATTATTAAATATTTATTTTAAATAAATTTATCTTTTATGTTATGTTAAGACTATTGTACTTAATTCGACAAATATGCAAATATATTCCTTAATTTTAATAGAAACTAGGTGACCCCGCGAACTTCGTACCGCGTAACAGTCAATAAATGTTATATTAAATTATAGGTAAACTAAATTTAGAAATTTATTAAAGTAATAAAATGAATACAAAAAATTTATTGTATTCAATAGTTTATTAGGATATTGATATATAATTAATTATTTTAATAGTCAGCCATTTAATAGTCAGCCATTTAATAGTCAGCCAAGAACCCATAGGTTCTTTATGGGTTGCACTCCGATTGATTCTCTTCAATAAAGAACCTTGTGATATACGATATTTTTTGTTTTTTTATCAGGCCCCAAAACTTAGAACAGTAAGTATAACTCACTTCACGCTGGTCAGAGCTTCGCCTTTGTTGAAAATCAAAATGGGTAATACAATCCCGAAAAGAAGTGTTGATATTATATAGAAAATTATGTTAATGTGTTTTTAAAAAAATTGAAGTAGAATTTTTTTAAAAAGTATTGTATACTTTTTTGTAACCTAATTTTTCTTTTAAAAAATTATTCTTTTATTTACTCAGATCTTATGGCTGTACATATAAAAAAATTGTTAAAATATGCTAACGTCTGACATATATGATAACAGCCTGAAAAGTTAATGTCTTCAAAATAAAAACAGATAAGAATTTATTTTTGTGTGCATTATTGGATAAAGAACAACAATGGTTAATTTATTAAAAACTTTAAATTTTAATTTTTTTTATATTTTCTATATATTTCCATATATCATGAGTCTGTTTGTCATGATTTTTTTAAGAGACAAATAAATTTACTTATATTAGCTTAATAAGTTTACATCTATTAAGCATGAAACTGACTATTATTAGCTGACTGTTTGATTGCTATAATAGTATGTATCCACTGGCTTCATTAGACCAGTTAACTTACTTGAGATTCAAATAAGTCAAGCAATCTCAAGTGAGTTAACTGGTCTAACGAAGCGAGTGGAAACATACTATAAGAGTGAACTACTGAATCGATTTATACATAATAATTTTTATGGCACTGCATATAACAAAGGGAACTCCCGTATTATTAATCAAATATTAAAATATTTTGTTGTAAGTAATTTTAGTTGATAACACAAAGTACTAAGTAAATCACAAGATTTTACTAATTACTCATATTACACTGTATTCGTTTATTTTTTTTTTACATAATATTTAATTTAAAAAAAATTATTAGTATAAATTGTAGGTCATACTTGTCATACAGAACATATTGAAGAAATGATAAAAGAAGGAATCCTAGATTCATATACATTCAAAATTTATCCAATAAGTAACATTTACAATAATAATTTAATAATGTGGGGTATAATATTGGAATAAATTGGCTCTCCTAAAGCTGCTTATATGCTTAAGATGAGTTTCATTGGTGCATAATGATGGCATATTATATACTCTGCTCATAATGTGTTAGTGGTTAATTGGACCTAACAGCTAGTTTTAATTTTGGTCATTTCTGTAATGATTATACGGTTGTTTTTAATTTAATTCAATCGCATACAATCCTAAAATCGTTTTAAGTTGAAAGTCCCGAGATTATGTTAGCCCCGATAGGTTAGCTTTCTCCGCAACCTGTAAAAATATTTTAGTCCGAATTCCAGGAAAAATATTATGTTCTACTTATATGATAAAGTTAACTTTATTTGAAATATATGTCTCACCTTAGACAATGATTTTATTATTATCAGCAGATGGTATATTATTGGCGTATGTTTTCAGTGTAAGGTGAGGTCAATCGAATAACAGGAAGAGAACTTATCCTGCATCTATACTCAATAAATTTTACAAGATACTTGTACACTGACTTTCTTATTGAAATATACAAATTTTTTGTCTGTAGACTTAACTTGATAATAATAATATTTATTATTATTATGAAAGATTATTACATTTGAATATAAAAATCTTGTCAAAATCCAATCAGTGTAGACACCAATCAGTGTATGTCAATACTGATTTATTTTGAAACTATTAAATTTATTATTTGTTTTTAGATTTAATAGTTAATAATAGTTATATAAATTTTACATCAACTTATACTTGCATCATAAAATATAATAAATATTTGACCCTCCTCACATTGCAATAAATTTCTTAAAAAAAAAACTAGTTATTAGGTACAATAAAATCTGAGTAAATAAATGCATAATATTTTAGGAGTGACGTAGTTTTCTACTTAGAGAATTGAAGTCAAAATTTTTGATTTCAAATACTTTAACTTTTTTCATCAAACAACCTCAATAGACTAGCAACCAGAGTCTATTGTAGTGTCCGTACTGACAGCAGTTATTTATAGTCGACTAAAATTATTAGTTACATTTTACAGCTAACTGTAAAATTTATTTTACGACCAATTTAACATAAATGTGATATTCACATCTACATACAATTTACTAATTATATCAATTTATTCATCATCCGTGACTATACAGTCCATGTACGACCTAAGCCTGTTTAACAACATCCTTTCATTTTTCTCTGTTTTAAGCTTTTGTTTTCCAATTTCTTATATACAGTTTATTAGTTATCGAATAACTATTCCTAACACTATTTATAAGTTTATAAGTTTTTCTAATAATATGAATAGCCACAGTATGAAACTTGACCTATTAAAACCACCTCTTAAGAATGACTCTCCCATCCGCCACCACATTCCAATAAAGGAGTGACGGATAAGAGAGAACCAAACTTAGTATGAATATATGGAATCAAAATATGACATGTGTGTCATCTTAATCTACATCTTTTTATTAAAATTGATTTGGGATGACAGAATAAGGGTTTGAAGCAGTTAGAGCTTCTATTTAGAATGACTGTTCTACTTTAATCTAGGAAATAAGTATTAAACCGGAAGGTCCTATGCACGTTTGACATTAAACAATCTTCAACAAAGAAATTTTGACATATGTACGAAAGGCTGAATATGTTCTGTTTGGCTACATTTAGGCATACAGGATTTAGAGTGGTCGAAGAGCTCTGCTCTACCGAAAACATATAAAACAGTTAACTTTTAATTCTATGTTCATGGTCTCTACTTTCCTTCAAAATATAGTTAGTTGCGGTGGAAGGAGGAACGAGTCCTCTTCAATTAGCTTAAAGTGCTGTTTTAAATCCACAAAACCTCGTAATAGTGGGTAGTAGAGAGTAGGTCAAGCTAAAGCTAGCCAGAGGCATTTATAAAGGCAAGAATCTGGCCAATGCTAATGCTAGATATAACGCCGAGTGTGTTTAAAAAGGCGCCCCCAGAATATTAAGCCTAGTTCTGAGCAAACTTAGGACATAGACACATCAGGTGTTCTGGTCTCCTTTCTTTGAGAGCTGGAGATACTACAGGATAGTCTAAGTCTAGCTCTATGTCGTCCTATGGTCCAGTGCCCTGTAAAGACAGATATTAACATAGATACCTCTGATTTGCTTAAGTTCTACATTTGGAATAGATTAGCCGTGTAGCCCTTGAACTGGATGCTGGGGCGGCAAAAAACCGCCTGTCGCAAAAAATGTTATGACCATTCAACCTACAAAGGTAGCTGACAGGGACAGGAATTGAAATAGGGGTATCCATGAAAGTATATTAGAAATAAGAAATTTTACCTAGATTCGATTGAATTTTTTTATTTTTTATTGTGATAAGAAAATATTTAAGTTTAATGCAAAATGTTTACTATATTTCCTACATCTATATTTATTGTTTACTGTGTTCATTTAAATATAATAACAAATTTTAATAATAATTTTATTTTCACACTGTTTGCCTAGTGAGCGAGTATATTTGTGAAAAAAAAACTGCTTGCTAACATGGTTAAGTGTGTAAATTAGTATAAACTGAGCATTTTAGTGGTTTACAGTCGACAG